GTGCTATATTTTTTTAGTTATTTTAGAAAAACAGTTTTTTTCAACTTTGCGATTTTTTTTAACCATGTTCGCCATATTGGATCGAGTTTAAAGAACAAGAAACTCAATTTAAAATTTAATTTTCTATACGGTCATATTTTTTTTGTCCAGGTAATAATTTCTGCAAATTTAATATTAATCCGTGACAGAATGCTTGGACTACTCGATATTCTGCTATCCTAGTACGTAGTTCCCAAAATACATAAAATTTTAATAAAAGTGGCAAAAGTGCCCACCTAAAGGCGTTCTTCTCTCAATTTTTTTTGTAATATAATAAAATAATACTTGGAGCAAGAAATAATGTAATTTTGTCAAATTGTAAGTTTGGTTGCCTAACATTTGGAACCGTCAAGGTTTGTGGAGTTATACTAAATTATTGTCACCAGTGCAAGTTTGGTTGCCTAATCTACAGGTTTATTATGCGTATAGTTTACAGATTTGAATTCTCGAATAAATTTGTTATTTCAACGTGATTTTATATCGTTTCCAATAAATATTTTTAAAATCATACCAGACATATGAAATATAAAAAAAAACAAGTATTGTGATATAATGTTTTATTTTGACAAGTTTTTTTGTACATTTTGTTACACAGAAGAAACAAATTTCGTCAACATCAAAATAAGTCGATACTTACCCATCCCATCTCCCCAAAAAGAAACCCAAAGCCGATCCCGCTTTTAATAAGCGAGTCGGATCAGAAGTGGGATCGACTTCGGCAAAACTATTACGTAACGTTAAATGAACTGATTTATTCAGTAAACACAATCGAACATACACAAAAAGGAAAAACAAAGGATACAATTTGATACAAAGAGATAATATCACCAATAAATAGCCTATCTACAGTTATTAAAACTTCAATAATCATTTTTAATACCCAATACGATTTAAATTTAATGGAAGTTACGCACGGCGCCCGTGCGGTACTAGTATACTCACTAATAAACAGGGACGATTCGTCGAGATGCGTTTCGGATATGTCGCAATTAAAACGAAGTGAAGAAGAAAAATCGTAAAGGCCACTCCTCCGACGAAACGTCCCCCCGCGTCAAAGGTTATTTACAATAATTACATCAGACAACCATAATAATTTCGTACAATTTCGGCAAAACGATTGTCCCTACGTCAATATATCTATTTACTTATAAGTTAAACCGACTTTTGCACTCTTACACAACCTTCCGGAAAAGAACCGAACCTCGAAATAATCAATTCAACACGCTAGTAGCTACTAAAGAGTATAATTTACTTTTTTTTTTGTTTTTTTTTTTTCTTAAACTAAGTAGTGGATATTGCGACTGCCCCCTGTTTAGTAAGTTAGAACAGCCGGGTAACTGTAAACTAATCAAAGCAAACGTTAAAGGAAATCGTCCAAGTGAAACCATAGAAAGATTTAACTGAGATCCGTGGCGTAGATGTAGCCCTGCTGTTGCAGCACGAAAAGGCGTTTTTCCACTGCGTCTTTGTCTGAAAACGGAAAACGCACATCATTAATATACGGGGACGGTAAATACGCTCTCGCTGTTTTCCAACAGATGGCGTTGCCCGAACTGCATGCGAGTACTTTAAGATGGTAACGCACCTTTAAAAAAGCTTGAAATTTGGCTGCGTAATTGTATTTTTTTTTCATAGTGTTAAATATGTCGAATTTCCTGCCGGAAACAGAGTATTTGCGGGGAATTTTACTGCATCACTTTATCCAAAAGAAATCGGCAGCTGATGTACAAAGAACTCTTACGACGACCATGCTCTATAGCAAATAGGCAACTAGCAGTACATTTTTATAGATTTTATTACACAGTTTGTCTAAATGTGAATTAATGCACAAATAACAGACTTTCCCCCACTTTAACGCAGATTTTTTATAAAATGGACTTGGTTTGACACTCAAATTACTTTTTGGTGTGAAGAAATTTGTAATTTACGATGCAAATTACAAATTTCTTTACAACAAAAACTATTATGAGGTTCAAACCAAGTCCCTTTTATAGATAATCTGTGTTAAAATGGGGGAAAGTCTGTTATTTGAGCGTTAATTCGAATTTAAACAAAAAGTTTAATAAAATCTATAAAAATGTATTGCTGGTTGCCTATTTGCTATAGAGCCCTCTTAAAAATGATGATATCAATGTTGAAGATAAAAAACGTTCTAGAGCATCGAAACAGTTTGAAGGTGAAGAATTTGAGGTATTAATTCATATAAACTCATGTTAGATGCTAGTCGAAGTTACAGAATTATTAGGAGTTGGTCACACAACAGTTCCGAGACGTTTGAAAGCATTAAGAATAATTCAAAAGCAAGATTATTGGTTGCCGTACGAGTTGAAGTCAAAAGGCGTCTTTGCATGTGCGAACAGTTGCTTCGACGGCAGAAAAAGAAAGGTTTTTTGGATTTTTGAATTTGAATTTTTGGATGATGTTCAAAAAGCTGTAACTTGGAGAAATGGTCGTAAAGAGAATCAAAATAAAAGTGAATTGAAGCTTCAAGTTTCTAGTTTTTGGATCTGGAGTTTAAATTTTTTTAGCGACGGCAGTTTTTGAGTAATCACGAAAATCAGCGAAAAAACATTTTTACAAATTTTTGTTTGTCTTTAAAAAGGTCTATGGACCCCAATATCTTTTTTTTTTGTAATTTTACCATAAGGCTCTTTTAGATAATTTAATTCCCTTCAATTTGAGCGGTTCCAGAGCCCTGTACGATGATTTGTCACCGAGTTATCGTCGATCAAAGCAAAAAATTCATTTTTCACTTTGGCAATGAATTACTCAGGAAATAATGATCGTACAGAAAATCCAAGAAGCGTTTTGAAAACTATAAAGTATTCTCTACAAGTCGCAATTATTGGTTTTTGATAAAAAAAAAGTTTTCGAAGTGAAAACGTTGGTTGAAAAAAAGGTAAAACATCATATTATTAGGGATATTTAAATAACGACATAATTTTGTAAATAATGGAAAAATTAAGGATATTGACTGAAACTTTCAACCTCAAAGTGTCCTAAAGAAACCCTGACTTTTTTACGCTTAGAATCGGGGATCACGAACAGGGGCGGCAATACACGGTGTTAAATTGTGATCTACAACCTCCCCCCTTCCTCGCCTCCCCTCCCCCAAACACACATATGAACAGACACATGTACACAAATTTAAGGTATCTAATGAGCTTGGACTCATTTAAATACAGCGGAAGTGATGCGCCGTAGGGTCTCATTACCTTAAAACACACACACACACGAAGAATCGGAAATCCACCGTGCAATCGCCACATGGTACGCTTTGGATAACGTTAATGCCGGTGGTGAAAGAAAACAATTCCGGTGTAAAATGAAGCAAATTTTTTTTGACGATTGTGAGGCATTATGAATGTTGAACAAAATTTTGAAAAAAAATAATTTTTGAACTATTTTGTTTTTTTTACAACAATCAACGTTTTTTGATGACGAAAATATGGATTATTGCTAGAAAAAACTTTTTCACCTTAACAAAAATGAATAGAAAGTGAAAAATTACTCGTTACATTGTTTTCAGCAAATACGACAAATTTAAACATTCCGGTCACTAGGAAAAAAAAATCGCAGCGTTTTGAAATTATCAGGGTTTCTTTACGACACTTTGAGGTTGAAAAGTTTCAGTCAACAACTTTAGTTATTCCATTATTTACAAAATTATGTCAAGATATTGAAATATCCCTAATCATGCAGTTTTTTTAATTTTTTTCAACTAAAATTTTCACTTCGAAAATTTTTTTTATCAAAAACCAATAATTACGACTTGTAGAGAACACTTCGTAATTTCGGAAAAACTGTTTGGATTTTATGCACGATCATTATTTCCCGAGTAATTAATTGTCTAAGTTAAAAATGACATTTTTGCTTCGATCGACGATAACTCTGCGACGAATCATCGTACAGGGCTCTGGAACCGCTCAAATTGAAGGGAATTAAATTATCTAAAAGGGCCTTACGGTGAAATTAATTGAAGTCCATAGACTTTTTTAAAGACCAACAAAAATTTGAAAAAAAATTTTTCACCGGTTTTCTCGATTACTCAAAAACCGCTGCCGCTAAAAAATTTTAAACTCCAAATCCAAAAACTAGAAACTTAAAGCTTCGATTTCCTTTTATTTTGATTCTCTCTACGACAATTTCCCTCCAAATTACAGCTTTTCGAAAAGCACCAAAAAATTTGTGATTTTTTTAATATCCCTTAATTTTTGTGCCTAGTGTATCCGCTTCCAAGCTTCCGCTCTGCATTTGTGAGCTCAGTTAGGTGTATTTTATTATGAACTGCTCCAATCGAACAAAACTATCGTGGGAGAGATGAATTTGAGTCGAGTATTGAAAGAAAAACAGCCACTATATGAGCAAAGACACAATAAAGTGATTTTACAGCACAAAAACGCTCGACGACATTGCAAAACCGGGGAAAACCTACTGGGAAGTTCTTAAATGGGACGTAAAACACATGGCCTGGCTGAGCAGCACTTCTGTTCTTATGAACATACCAAAAAAAAAAAAGACAACTGGATAGCCTGAAAAGACGTGTCATTTTTCGACGTGGAATTAAAATTCTGCCAGAGACGGGAAAAAGCGATAAACAATACTTCCAGTGACACGTTTTTTACCAATTTTTTTAAATAAAGCATTAATTTTCACGAAAACTTATTCAACGGTCCATTTAAAATCGCAGAAGCTCGCATCAAAACCAACCGCTTTCACACACAGATACTCACATTTCGTAAGGAGGAGCCTGTCCTGCTGGTTGTGCACCTGCTGCGACAGGCTATGCAGCAGGATTTGAGCCGTCTGGTACCTCTGGAAGCACTCCTCGGGATTACCGAACAGCTCGTCGAGAGCGGCGGACTGGCACTGAAAAAAGAGTCGCGTAAGCGTACAAAGTCTCGGATTGCCGCGCGGACCTACCATTTGTATGGCATGATTGTACAAGATCTTGTCGGCCGTGATGCTCGCCGATCCGACTTTGTTCAGGAGCCCGGTGCTGTTCAGCTGCTTGCACTCTTGGAGGGTTGTCCTGAATTTTGTGTTTAGCGTCGAAACCACTGAAAAAAAAACGTTAAAATGGACAAAAGGTAAAGTCGCTAAAAAGAGACGGTTGTCTGCAAACTGCCGATCCCCTTCGCACCGCTCCCGCCCACAAACTGCGTCAATTTCAGTTTTTATCCATATTTTTTGGAGTTTCTCTGCGTCGTGTCATGCTGCAAGGTCAAAGCTTGGAGGCAACCGTTTTCGGTATCACGTCAAAAAAAAATTGCTAAACCCCAGCCACTTACCCGTCTTCACGGTGGTGCTAGGCCTCAACTGCCCCGACTTCAGCTGCCTGGTGGCCAGGGCCAGCCCCGAGCTCAACAGCTGCAACGCCCTGACCAGCAACACCAGCTGCTCCGCCCGGCGGTTCGACTCGCTCATCGGCTGGTTCTGGTGGGCGGGATCGACCAGGGCGGCAAGCGGGGCGGATCTCTGCGCCGCCAACTCCAGGATGCAGTTACTCAAGGCCAGCACGAAGTTGATCTTGGCCAACGTTTCGTTGTGCTCTCTCTGAAACGACAAAAATACACCGTCAAGCCTTGAGACCCGAACTCGAAACGGGGTAATCACCTCCAGCAAGGTCTCTTCGGGAAGTTCCGGCGCCAGGAAGGTGATGGGGTGGGCGTCGTTGGTGGTGGAGGTGTCGTTGAACAACGTCTGGTAGTTGCCCATTTCCGAGATCTCCGGCAGCGTCACGGCCCTGGTGCAGAACGGTATGACGGGGGAGCGGCCCAGGTTGTTGTTGTCGCTCAGATTGGGGCTGCTCAGTATCGGGACCCTGGCCAGGGGGCCGCTCAGGATCGGGGGAGAGGTACCTAGGGACACTTGCGGGTCACGTGATTCAGGTGAGAATGGAAAATAATAATCGTAACGCAAACGAAATGAAAACATTTTTGAAAAATAAACAAATTAAAAAACTCAAAAATTATCAAAAAGAAATTGGTCTCACGTTGGCTTGAAGGGAATGAAACGCTGCAAATAAATTAAGCAAAAATACCTACCTGATCTCCTCAAGGGTGAATTAGAAGGCATATTTTTAGCACCGGACACCGGAGATACCGTCCACACGTTGGGGGGCGGAGGAGTTTCGCAGAAGCTTCCGGAAGTTGACCTTCTCCTCCCACCAGGTGGAGTTCCGATCACAAACTGGACCTAAATTGTTTATTTATTTACGGGTCATTTAAAACAATATAAACATGATTAAAATGTGATAAAAAGTGAAAAAAAATACAAGGTGATTCACAAATGGTTACCAAAAATGAAACCACGTATTCTTTGGACAATCGTAAGGGGCGTCTTTCCTATAAAGTTTTTATCTAGGACGCTTCGTTAAAAAGATACAGAGTGTTAAACTTCAGAAAATATTTTTTATTTTTTTAAATAATTTAAAAATCAGGCTTCTTTCGAAAAACACAAGAGAGTAGTAATTTGTAGAAAAATTGAAAGACAAATCCAAAAATATCATGGTTGTTACTGCAAAGCAGTGGCGTACTGTTTTATTTAGAAAAATATACCACCGATGCCCTGTCTCTCCGCCACTGGAGCATGCAAATTTTAAGAAAACGCCTCAGATTTTGGACAATGTTTACAAAAATACATGTGCCCAATTTCAAATTATTTCACTTACTAGTTTTTAAATTATTTAAAAAAGTTAAAAATATTTTTTGAGATTTAACACCCTGTATCTTTTTAACAAGCGTTCTAGATAAAAATTTATAAGAACAAATTCACCAAAGAATACGAGGTTTAATTTTTGGTCACCATTAGTGAGTCACCCTGTATATGTAGTTAAAAATGCATACAAAGAAATGATTTATAAAAGTAGAAAACGAAACAAAAAAAATCTAATGATTTAAAATATTTTTGGCTGCTGATGAACATCGATCAAAATAATTGGATTTATAATTTGTGCTGCCTTTAAAAAAATATACAGTATGATCCGTTTCAAACTGAAACACTCGTAAAAAAATTATTTATGGACCGATTTAGTTCGGGCCTCTTCTAATAATGGAATTTAAAAAATCCATTACATTGCATAACGTACCAATTCATTTTCAGTTTCCGATAAAACAAAAATTTTTTTTGGGTGTCAAATTGGAAAAAATATGACCAACAAAACTTTTATTCAAAATGTGAGTAAGCCACTGAATTTTGCACCTCCTCAATGTGGTTTTTACAAAATAACGTGATAATTTATTTATAAGTCCATAGGATGGAAAGAACAGAAAAAATTATTTAATATTAATTATGTCCCCCCTTAAAGAACAGAGGCCCCAGTTGAGAGCCTCAGGGCACACCTCACACTACTGCCATTTTACTGAATATAAATTTCTAGAACAGGATCACAAACTCCAACCATCCAAACTTTGTGGATTAATATATAGCGATTGACTCTAAAAAAGGCCTTGGAAATATTTATGGATTTATTCGAATGCCATTTGGTTTATTTAACGTCCAACCAAACTCAAATAAAATATGTATATATTAAAAAAGAAGCGGTATTAAACGCTTACCGATGGAGGAGACATGGAACTGATGTCGATGTCGGTGTTCTGCCTTTCCGGTCGCTTTTTCATGCTGATGGGCGCCGACCTCGGGATACAGCTGTTCGTCTAAAAGGAAAGTAATAAGTTGCGATAAGGGTTATAGACCACGGCGGATCTGTCGAAATATACCACTTCTTGGATGTAAGAGGGGGCAAGCTAATTTTTGCTGGATACCTTCAATACAACTCACATAATAAAACTGTAGATCCCTAGAACTGGGTGAGGTCCGGAAAAATTTCAAAATTACAAATATGTTTAAAAAAAATTTTTAAAATACTTGTTTTATCCGAGTGTTTCACTTATATCTTGGAACCTATGCATTTTGGAAGAATATTGAAGAGGAAAAAAAGTTTTACAATTAAATTTTGTACAATATACTGTAATTAAAAATGTTTAAATTTATTACCGATGTGGCAAAATAACAATAATTGATGAAAAAATGGCAAAATAATCGTTTTTTTGGATAATTTTTAAAAAATATTTTAATCGCTCCGAGGGCATTCTAATTTTAGTAAAAAAAACTGTGTAGTAAAACAAAACACCAAATTTCATTAAAATCGGTTCGATAGTTTTTGCAAAATAATTTTTTGAAGAAAATATTGAAAATTTTTTTTCGAATTTTCAAAATGTAGCACAGCCTCAAATAAAGCATCTAGATACTTGAAAATTTTTTCACACAGAAAAGACCGCTTAACCTTTCAAATGGTTTTTGAAAAATTGGAATCGGTTGATTAGGACGGCTACAGTTAGTTTTTAAAGTTAACACTTTTTTTATTTTTAAACGATTAGCAATTTAGTTTTTTTTTTTATAATTATAATTTTTTTAAAAAACTAAATTGCAAATTGATAAATCTAATCTAATTGTTTAAAAATAAAAAAAAACTAAAAATTTCCTGTGGCCATTCTGTGCTTTTTTTTTGTAAAAAAAATTTCAGGTATCTAGATGCTTTATTTGAGGCTGTGCAGCATTTTGAAAATTCAAAATTTTTTTCAAAAATTGTTTTGCGAAAACTATCAAACCGATTTTAATGAAATTTGGTGTGTTGTTTTATTATACTTTAGAGCTTTTTTTGCCAAATTTAGAATGCCCTCGAAGCAATTAAAATATTTTAAAAAAATTATCCAAAAAACTTGATATTTTGCCTATTTTTCATCAATTATTGCTATTTTGCAACATCGGTAATAAATTTAGAGATTTTTAACATACAGTTTATTGTGCAAAATTCAATTCTAAAACTTTTTTTCTTCAATATTCTCCCAAAATGCATAGGTTCCAAAAAACTCGGATAAAATAGCTATTTTTTTAAATTTTTTAAACATTTTTGCAATTTTGAAAATGTTCCGGACCTCGCCCAGATCTAGGGAACCTACACTTTTATTTTGTGAGTTGTACTGAAGGCAATCCAGCAAAAATTTGCTTGCTCCCTCTCACATCCACCTCAAAACAGACCCGCCCTGGTCTATTAATCGAGTCTCCGGTACGTAAAGGAAAGAAATCAATAAAGTAAAAATCTCCCATGCTGCACGCAACTGGCAATGGCAATTCATAAAACTTTAGTTTGTTAATGTTTCATCGTTTGTGACAACTAAAAAATTGGTTGTTATCAACGAGTTTTCAGAGTTATTCCATGTTGTCGTGGAAACCCGCCGAAAACATCAGATTTTTTTTTTTTAGCTGTCCTGAAGATGTCACAAAAGACAAAACGTCGTTTACCCAAAATTTTGCGTTTCCTTCCAAATACAGTCTTATTCCCCCATTACCGACAAGAAATAATTAAAATCAAAACGAGTCGATGCTGCGATACCACACCTACCTTGGTGGGGGACGGCGGTTCCTCCTTCTTCTCCGACTGACTGTACATCCGCTGGAAGGCATCCCTCTGCGTCGGAACCGGTATGGGCTCGGATATGGGCAGGAAACTAGGCCTGGTCAGACTGGCCACCGGCCCGCAAGGCAGCGGCGAAGACCTCACCGGCAGCTTCAGGCTTAAACCGAAACCACTTATCAACGCCCTGCGTTAATCGACGATTAAAAACAAAACGAGAAGAAAAAGAACTGACTGCATGCAAGCGAACGTAGCCGTTTCGCCAACAATTAAATGAAAATTAGTTAAATCGCCCCAAACCGACCCGTAAGGACGTCTGTCCCGTACTTACGCCGGCTTCTCCTTCTCCACGCTGCTCTCGGTCGAGTGGTCCGAGTGCATCTGGATGTTTTGCGGAACTATAACATAATCATCTTCAGGACTTGAACTGAGCGCGGTTCTTGTAGATCTAGGCGATTCTACAAGGCAGAAAGCGAATGATCAGTATGCCGATGTGGAAGTATTACGTGTGCGAGAGGGAATTCCACTCGGTTTGAGACCGAAAAGTGCTCTAATTTTGATAATATGTACGTTTTTTTATTTACCTTCAAAGCGACTCGTTTTGTTACAGAGAAAAGTATGTGGAAGTCGTAAATAATTTAACTCGTGCTGTCGCAGCAATCGTTTTCGATCTCGAAACGAGTACAAACTGAAGCAGCGAAAGTTATCGTAAGTTAGTGCTATGAAAAAAATCGTACAAAATTAAAACAGATCATAAGACATTCAGAAATACAATCTCATAGAAACAATTATAAAAATAGGTCGATCCGCACTGATAAATTTCTATAACCTCGGAATTCTTACAAAGAAAAATACAGAGATCCCCCTATCCCAATTTTTTAACGCTTCGCCTTTGCCTCTGTAAAATGTTAACCACATTAACACAAGCTAAAATGCTTAAGGGGGAAACCACATTAGGAGGTTCAAAAAATCAGTTTTTTTATTGCATAAATTGTTTCACAAATATTCGTTCCGATTTTATGAGCCTAAAACCAAACGCCATCGCTTCAGCGCTCGAGCCCACAGCAGGTAAGGCGGAGCACTTTTTCAGGTAGTCACTTATTAAGCGAGAAAAGAACAGGCGCGAGCTCAGAATGATGCCTATGTGGAAGAGAAAGGACTTTTATGTGGTACTGGAATAGCTGATTGATCGGAAACCACCCTAAATTATTGATAACTTTCTCAAATTTCTAATTTTCGAAAATCTTCAAACACGTTTTTCTCGAAACGACATTTTTTTTATCCACGGGAAGTCTAGGTAAAAAAAATCATGAACCGATCGTTATGAAAATTGAAAATATGTTTCTTTATGAACTTACAAAGAACACAAACAATTAGGATGATATCACAACTTTAAGGGTGTTTTTTGTTCATAATAAGTGAAAAAAATGGGTTAAAATCCATAAATTTTTTTCAAAACGTGTCAAAACTTAAATGATCACAATTTTTACCGCAATGAGGTTCATATTCTTAGAAGACGTGTTAATAATGCAGGAAAACAACCGGTTTGCTTTCAGATCGAAATTGTGACCTCCACATTTCCCGTGAACAAGCAACTCGGACCTGAAAAAATTTTGTAAATGTCGTTTAGAATATTCGTAAAATAACGTCAAAGTTTGACCAATTTCCAATCAATTTGTCCCACTCAAAAAAATTTATGAAGAACACCTGAAAATTGGCCTCTTATATGGTTTCCCCCCTTGTAGTCCAATCGGATTAAATTTTAAAAGTACTGTTTTGAGAACTATTTAAAAGAGGGTATATTATTAATCAAAAATTTTCGGAATGGTGTATATATATATATATACCCGTAAATTTGAACTCTTAATATTAACAATTAACAAAGCCACAATGACTTTTTGAAAAAAAAAAAAGCGATTAAATAATCGACTAAAAAATTTTATCTGAAAAAAGTTCACCACTTAACTTTTGATATTAAAAAGGCTTGATTTTCAACTTAATCTTTAAATTATTTTATACTTCAATAATCAACTTTTGCTTTATTGTACATTGTAGTACAACTTTTTACGAGTAAAATAAGCCCTCGAACAAGTCTCAACGACGCACAGTGGGAAATATTGGAAAAAATTCTCGCCACTCGCCAATTTTCATCGTCTCGTTGTGATTTTTTTAAAATAATCTCGTGGTAATCTGAATTTTCATATTCCGGTGTGGTTTTTTCGAAAAACCCTTTTTTTAATGCTTAGGGAGCGCCCCAACCTCAATGTCGAAGAAAAAATTTTTAAATACTCGATGTTCTTCAGTTGTAGAAAAAAATGTTTAAAAAGTATCTGCTATTAGCAAAATTGATTATTATGACCCTTGATGATATATTTGGAGTTAGGTTTTTGAAGAAAAAACTCACCGGACGATGAAAATTGGCGAGTGGCGAGAATTTTTTCCAATATTTCCCACTGTGCGACGTCTCAAAGATGAGAAATTCGAATTTGCCAAGAGCCTTTTTACATAATAAATAGCTTTTAACAAAAACTAATAGAGCGAAAAAGAGAGGCTGTTTTTATACTTAAATATCACAGCAAATTTCATGTATTTCCTTTTGAAAAACACTTAGTAAATGAAAACCCAAGTGATTTCCCCAGCAAAGTCGTGAACAATTTTTTTTTAAACAATAAAAACTGCAAAAAAAATGACATTCTTTTGTTTTTTTTTATAATATCTGGAAAAATAATGATGGAATCGTCTTACTCTCAATAGGACTTTTGTAGAGAATNTATTGGAAAAAATTCTCGCCACTCGCCAATTTTCATCGTCTCGTCGTGATTTTTTTTTTTAATAATCTCGTGGTAATCTGAATTTTCATATTCCGTTGAGGTTTTTTCGAAAAACCCATTTTTTTTAATGCTTAGGGAGCGCCCCAACCTGAATGTCGAAGAAAACATTTTTAAATACTCAATGTTCAGTTGTAGAAAAAAATGTTTAAAAAGTATCTGCTATTAATAAAATTGATTATTATGACCCTTGATGATATATTTGGAGTTAGGGTTTTGAAGAAAAAACATCAGATGTATCATCAAGGGTCATAATAAGGGGCGCTCCATAAGCATTAAAAAAAAAGGTTTTTCGAAAAAAACTCACCGGGATATGAAAATTCAGATTACAACGAGATTATTAAAGAAAAAATCACGACGAGACGAAAATTGGTGAGTGGCGAGAATTTTTTCTCATATTTCCCACTGTGCGACGTTTCAAAGATGAGGAAATTCGAATTTACCAAGAGCCTTTTTACATAATAAATAGCTTTTAACAAAAACTAATAATAAGCCAGCTAATAAAGCAAAAAAAAAAGAGGTTGTTTTTATACTTGAATATTACAACAAATTTCATGTATTTCCTTTTGAAAAACACTTTGTAAATGAAAACCCAAGTGATTTCCCCAGCAAAGTCGTGAACAATTTTTTTTTAAACAATAAAAACTGCAAAAAAAATGACATTCTTTTGTTTTTTTTTATAATATCTGGAAAAATAATGATGGAATCGTCTTACTCTCAATAGGACTTTTGTAGAGAATNAAGTTTGACCAATTTCCAATCAATTTGTCCCACTCAAAAAAATTTATGAAGAACACCTGAAAATTGGCCTCTTATATGGTTTCCCCCCTTGTAGTCCAATCGGATTAAATTTTAAAAGTACTGTTTTGAGAACTATTTAAAAGAGGGTATATTATTAATCAAAAATTTTCGGAATGGTGTATATATATATATATACCCGTAAATTTGAACTCTTAATATTAACAATTAACAAAGCCACAATGACTTTTTGAAAAAAAAAAAAGCGATTAAATAATCGACTAAAAAATTTTATCTGAAAAAAGTTCACCACTTAACTTTTGATATTAAAAAGGCTTGATTTTCAACTTAATCTTTAAATTATTTTATACTTCAATAATCAACTTTTGCTTTATTGTACATTGTAGTACAACTTTTTACGAGTAAAATAAGCCCTCGAACAAGTCTCAACGACGCACAGTGGGAAATATTGGAAAAAATTCTCGCCACTCGCCAATTTTCATCGTCTCGTTGTGATTTTTTTAAAATAATCTCGTGGTAATCTGAATTTTCATATTCCGGTGTGGTTTTTTCGAAAAACCCTTTTTTTAATGCTTAGGGAGCGCCCCAACCTCAATGTCGAAGAAAAAATTTTTAAATACTCGATGTTCTTCAGTTGTAGAAAAAAATGTTTAAAAAGTATCTGCTATTAGCAAAATTGATTATTATGACCCTTGATGATATATTTGGAGTTAGGTTTTTGAAGAAAAAACTCACCGGACGATGAAAATTGGCGAGTGGCGAGAATTTTTTCCAATATTTCCCACTGTGCGACGTCTCAAAGATGAGAAATTCGAATTTGCCAAGAGCCTTTTTACATAATAAATAGCTTTTAACAAAAACTAATAGAGCGAAAAAGAGAGGCTGTTTTTATACTTAAATATCACAGCAAATTTCATGTATTTCCTTTTGAAAAACACTTAGTAAATGAAAACCCAAGTGATTTCCCCAGCAAAGTCGTGAACAATTTTTTTTTAAACAATAAAAACTGCAAAAAAAATGACATTCTTTTGTTTTTTTTTATAATATCTGGAAAAATAATGATGGAATCGTCTTACTCTCAATAGGACTTTTGTAGAGAATAAAAAAACCTATAAAATGGTTTTTTGTGCGACCCGATCGGTTCATTTTTTTACAGAGAAAATCCGGAAAAACCTGTGAAATAAACCTTTTTTAAAAAATTCATAACTCCGTCAAATTTGAAGCTGGAAAAACAATCGTGCGGAAAATGACAGATAATAATATGTAGTTTAATCGTGAGCAAGATGGTTTCCGTCCGATGCATAGTTTTTGCACAATTGCATTATAAACAAACGAGGGTCTTTTTTTGCAGTAGTTTACGTCAATACATCTTGAAAAAGGCGTTTCAAGAGATAAAACAAAATTGTGAGATAATTTCAGTATTAGCTACCTATGTAGATATTTCATAATATAATAAGTATCCATTAAATTACGTTAAATTTAGTCTTACTTTGTTTTGTTGTAAGGAAGTCGTTTTCTATTTACTTTAAACTAATACCTCCCTTGTCCTTATCCTTAAAGCCTTTGTACTATCCCTCACATTGACATCAGACACTACCCGCGTACTATGCGACGCGTACATTAACCGCGAACCAACCAAAACACTAAAACTATAAGCAGCTTTGAGCCGGCCTCAGTTTCCTCCTAAATCACGTTATTTTAACCGCCTCAGTTGGAGGGGGCACTGTATCACATTGTAGGCAAGTGTGACGCGCCTACAAGCAAAGAATTTCTGGACTCACTGCGGTGGGGACCAGTGGGAAGTAATAGCATCCAATGCCGCGTCGATGAAGACGGCAAGCGGCGAGATAATCAATATTCAAATAATAATTTTATAATTAAAGGACACCATTTGCGGCACAGTGCACGTCTTTAAAATGTTATAACTTTTCTGCTCCCTGCCATAAAAGACAAACATTTTTTTTAAATAGAAACCTAAATTTATTTCAATTTTTGAAATCTGAGTAAAATTTCTTATCAACTTAGGTCCTACACATGGTATTTGCGGAAAAAAACTTTTAAAATATTGAAAATAATTTACTTCCTTTTGTGAAATCAATATTTTTCTATGAGACTGGGACTTTTCTGACACGCACACATTTTTCAATCATTTCGATTATTCTGAAAAAAATTAAACAACAAATTCTGTGCCATAACGAATATTCCTCAAACATTCTCCCCAAATCACCACAAAAACCAAATCAAGCAAGTTACGAAAACGTTACCTGGTTGGGACCTGGCCGGACTGGCCACCTTAACGGGCGTAGAAGACCTCAACGGCACTTTGGAGGACGAAGAAGGCGACTCGCAGATGAACGGCAAGTCTAAAACGTAGAAACCATAAAATTCATGAACGTTACGAGAAAAACAACGACGTACCGCCCGGCAAGGGACTCTGGGATGGCAACGGTTCCGGCCTCTGCAGGAACTTGTGGTTGAAGAACGTCTCGAAATTCATCCGTTCCCGGGAGTTCCTCTTCAACAGTCCCATCAGCAACTCGCTCAACTCCGGACTGGTTCCGGAAGGAATCCTGGAAGAAATCGCTGTAACGTTCGCACACAAAAATACAAGTTCTTACTTACTTTGGCGCCAGGTTGGCGTTTTTCTCGTAGAACATCTTCAGGGCCTGAGGCGTGTGCGCCTGGAAAGGGGCTTTTCCCGTCAGACACTGGAAAACTATAGTTCCGAGGCTCCAGAGGTCCGCCTTGGCATCGTACTGGAGAGACATTATCACTTCGGGGGCCTAGAGAAAAGAGTTTACTTTGTCTCAATTTCCAGTGGAGGAGTGTCAGTGCTTGTCATAAGCATACAAGTGAAAGCGTTATTACTCCAATAAATGTTGTTAAAAATTTTTAGGTGTTACTAGTCAATCTTACCATATACATGGGGCTTCCGCACAAGGTAGCTGCCATCACCCCGTCCTGTAGGAACCTTGCAAATCCGAAATCCGCTACAAGAAAAAATATACGGTCACAGTAGTAATAATTGGGAAACATAAGGAAGCACTTACCTATCTTTAGCTTTATCTCGGAAGGCTGCGGATGCACTTTCGCTCCGCTGTGCGACAAAAGGATGTTTTGCGGTTTCAGGTCCCTGTGGACTATTCCCTTGGCGTACAACGCCTTCATAGCACCAGCTGAGGAACACGAAAACATTAAATAAGCATCCATCGTAAAGCAAGGCAGCAAAAAAAGTGTGTCATTTGCAATATACGGTGATTTCCAAAAGTGAAATTGTATACAAAATGTAAAATGGACATAAAATAAACTGAAATCAGTAAACGGAGAAGTTATTTTTTTTATTTATCATGTTTTATCAAATTAATATTAAAGCAGGGGAATAATGACCTCAATTTGATTCATTTGAAAGAAAATTGTGTTTAGTAAACGTAAACTCGCTATATCAATATATCAAATTCGATGAGGAAACAAAAAAAAATCAAGAAAAGAACACACTACAAAAATTTTATCAGAACAAAAATCTCACGTACCTAGTTGTATCAAAAATAAGCGTATTGTATCCTCACTAAGAGTCCCCTTTGCTAAAATAAAAAAAATGTATAAACTATCTGCTAGTTGCGTTTCAAATTTAATTTGTTTACCTGACAAATAATCTGCCAAGTCCCCTCCATTGCAATACTAGAAAAAATAAAAATAATAACATCAATGGACTTGATCCATTATTAGATATTTTTAATTTACCCTGGAAATAACTACCCTGCGTACTACATGCCAGTAAGTGTTGAATAGCAATGACATTTAAGGTATGACATATAATTTATAGGTTATATCTTACCCGCACACGAAACATGTCAATAAATAGATATATCCAAATAACCAATTTGATGGAATTCATTGCTAAACGAACACGCAGTCCGCAGAGTAGTTGTTTCCCACAATATCATTATTTAAATAGGTATTTTTGTATCTAGAACGCGAAATGGTACGTACTTACGCGTTCAAGAATGGAAGTACCCAGTAAATGAAATTTGTAATACATGTAAATCAAAAGATAATTCGTTTCAGATTGAAACTTGGTTTAATCGTTAGTTTAGGTAAAATTAAAACAACAAGGTCATTGTTTAAACAATGATTATAATGTAAAAATTACCAAAAATTGAGTTTTTTTAACTGTATTAAAAAGCGTTCTCCCAATAGGAGTTTTTGCTTTTGTTTATACTTATAGGTTTTCAAAAAACGCTTCATTAGAGACCTGTCAAATTAAAATCCATTAACAATTTGTTTAAATAATTGCAAAAAACAGGGAAATTTGAATTTGCTATAAATAGAAGACAAGAGCATAAATCGTCTCTAAATTGCAGCTAAAGTTGTTTTCCGTTACGCTTAACAAACTCTGAAAATTTGGTAAAAAAAATGTTTATTTGTTTACGAGTTTTTGCATTTGTTTATAACAAAAAGCATTTTTTCAATTGCAAAAACGATGTTGTTAGCGTTATAATAAAGAGCCTTATGAGGATGAGGGCTGATTTGTTTCGTCTTGGCTTATATTTTCAAGATATGCCATTGGAAATTGTAAATTCATAGGCTAACCTCAAAACGGCGTATAAACAAATAGTGTAATTTGTTTATAAGGTTTTTCATTAATATCTTTGCGAAGAACGGATATTTTTTAAAGCCGCTTTGATATTCGTAATCCTGGTAATTTTTCACGAATTTAAAAAAAATGTTCTAGGACCATTTTTAGCCGATAGCGTTTTTTTTTAATTCATAACTTGTTTATTTATAAACATTAAGACTTGAAATTTCGGGAATAAATCAGTAAACCCTTAAACTTCATAATAACGGTTAAAGATATCGAAAAATGCATTTACAGTAATTTTTAACCCTTAAAAAAACGTCTTCGAATACATTTTTACACCTGGAATGTGGTGGGGGAAATAAGACAGAAACGTTCCGAGACTTCAAATCTTAACTGTCCGAAAATTTTGCGATATTTCGGGTAATTGTGGACCAATTTTAATGTTTTTTTTTAATCTGGGGTAGCGCATGAAAATAATAACTGCACGGTTCATTTTGCAACAGTTAATTATTAATTTGTTATAAACTATTAATTTTGTACCACATTTTTTTTTTGCATTTTTCTAGAAATAATTATTGACAATGGTACCAATAAACAATTTTCTTAAAAAACAATATTTTTATGTAAAAAAAATCAGGAAATGACATATTTTTTATGTACAAAGTTTATTTTAATGAGAATCGAGTTTTTGGATGTAATATATAATAGTATTAGTTTTTAACATTAAATTACAGGTAAGTAAATTAAAACACTTGAAAATATAAGTCAAGACGAAACAAATGAGCCCTCATAAGACCCTTTATTATAATGCTAACAACCGCGTTTTTGCAATTGAAAAAATGCTATTTCTAATAGCTGTTTTACATTGACAATTTGTTGATCAATTAATTCTTGAAGTCGCTTCATCAAGAAATTGGACAAGTGTAATGCACCAAATCAGCTGTCAAATAACTTCATCAATTTATTCATCAAGTTCTTGACGAATTAGAGCATGTTCTAATTTTCGTCAATTTCTTCGTGAAGTTCGGAAGTACCAACCCAACAGATTTCCACCCTCAGATCAGTAATGAGGTTATGTTATTGGAATATGTAAATAATTGTGTGGCGTCGTACTAGTTTTGCATTGTTTTTACTGATTTGTTACTTACAAACACTAATATTTATATAATATGTGTCAAAACGGTACCGCTGTTGTATCACTACAATTATGAGTGGGAAGGTGACATTTTTGAAATTTATTTGCTTCTTTGATTCGTTGGTAGAACTGATTCATGCGTCAAAAAACTTGATAAAGTCTGTAGCAATGTAAAACCACACTGTTTACTAATAAATTCGTGAATTAATTCATGAAGAACTTCGTCAATTTTGTCAACTTTGTCAATTGTCAATGTAAAGCCATTATAATAAACACATGCAAAAACGCGTAAACAAATACATATTTTTTTATCAAATTTTCAGGGTTTCTTAAGCGTAACAAAATACAACTTTTACTGCAGTTTATTAGAGACGATTTATGCTATTTTCTTCTATTTATAGCAAATTCAAATTTCGCTGGTTTTTTACAATTATTTAAACAAATTATTAATGGATTTTAATTTGACAGGTCTCTAATGAAGCGTTTTTTGAAAACCTATAAGTATAAACAAAAGCAAAAACTCAATTTTTGGTAATTTTTACATTATAATCACTGTTTAAACAATGATCTTGTTGTTTTAAACCGATACTTTTTGGGAAATATTATTTATTTTTTCCTAAACTAACGATTAAACCAAATTTCAATCTGAAACGATTTTTTTTTCATTTACTGGGCTAAAGTTACTTTGCCGAGCTTAGCGGGGCAAAATATCCATTCGAGAACGTAAAAGTATTTCGCGTTCGAGATGCAAACAATATTTTTTCGAAAACCGCAATAAAATAAGACAATTGGATTATATACTACAATTTAATTTATATTTGAAATCTTTTCGAATGTTTGAATCCAGACGGTTTCGGCGCGGTGACTATCGTGACGATAACATGTCATTTAAAATATGACGTATACTTTGAAGGTTATATCTCACCCACACTAGTATTAGATAAATACTTTATCAATGCAATAAGTAAATTAAACACCTATTTCCATTCCTAGTTCTAGCACCAGTTTTTTAATTAACTCAAAATACACAGGATTGCAACTTTTTAATTGTCCTATACATCTTTTTTGTTTTAAGAGATACAGAAATTGGCAAACATTTGCAGAATTTTATGCCAATTACGAATTCGTTCCTAAATTTAGAAAATTCCGAAGATATTCGAAATAAACCAATTTAATTAATACTACACATTTATTTTTTAGTCGTATTTCACTTGTTTTTCAAAATTTTATTACAAAAATGTGCACAGTCTGACGTAAAATGATGCGAGGAATCGATTTTTGTCGTCAGTTTTAACGTATCTCCAAAAACGTATGCCAAGCGGTAGTTTTTTTACGGGCGCCGTATTGAATTTTTGCCTCATTAGAAGAACAGTGAATTAAATACAAAACATAATTTTTTTTCACATCCCAAAGAAAATATCAACGTAGCGCTTACATTCGATAATATTTAATCAAATAATCTTAGATCGATAAGCACAAGCGTCATCATTCTGTACCCTAATCCCAATGTATAATTTTTAGCGCTCCACTAAAAGCCAACAGAACACGGATAATCCAGATAAAATAAAAAATTCGTGAGAAACGAAAGAGGAAGTTTGCACTACACGGTGCATGAAATGAATAAACGATGTTAGTTCTAGGAAGGAGACTCGTCACCGCGTTTTTAAGTGTCTATAAAATCGTCGAAATTCCATTCCGAAATAATGTGATACTCGAAAATAAACTGATTTCACGCAAATATAATCTTTAGTTTTTGAGCAAAGCGTGTAATTTCTGTACAAATAAAATAATCAAACAGATTCCAACAGAGTTTGCATTTTTTATCATAAAACATCTGGATAGAATATGATTTTTTCTCCTTTATATTTTCCACGAAAACAAAAAAATTAAAAGAATAACTTTAAGTTTTATTAAATTCTACTTCCTTATCAATTTATCGGTGGCGTATTAGTCATTCGTCTTTATCTCAGTAAATATACTAAAAACACACAATTATTCAATTATTAATTAATTATTGACGTGAAAACCCCAGAGAATTCTAACGATAGTCATCGGTATTACGCTCATCCAGCTAATAATAATAATTGCTATCAAAAAAATCTATCAAAAACTTTCACTCATCATAAATTCATGCGGGATCTTATCTCAAGTGATGACGTTTCTGAATAAATGGAGAAAATATAGAAATTAGGTAAAGGGGCGGGTATTCCTGCCGTCAAAATGTGGAACTCGTGATTGTGATGGAACCAGGGAATCATATTCGAGGGTAAATCAGTATTTACACACGCCATCGAAACAAACAGTCCAATCGCCTAGTCAAAATTGTATATAAAGATGGCATGTGGCTAGTTTTTTACTAATAGGAAAAAAATTGTTCTGCACGGGAGCGGACTCGAAAAATTCGAGAAATGGCCATAAAACTGCAAAAAATAGGTTATTTTTGTATCGAGAACGCGAAATGGTACTTTTTTGCCGAGCTTATAAGGCAAAATAAATTGTTACCATCTTCAGCAGAGCCTACGGTACTTGCCAATAATACAACGTGCGCAGTAAACTTAAACAATTACAACAGCAGCCTCATTGAACACCCAGAATTAAAAGCTACGATAACTGATGTCACTGAATCTCGCATAAAATCTCGCTCCAATATCGACACTTTCAATTTACATGTAGTGCAAAATAAATTGTAATCGGCCTGTTATAACAGTTACTTGTATTTTGACATTTGTTTTTTGTTCTAGAACGAAAAAGACTTTGGCGTTCTAGAACATAAAAGTATTTTGCAGCTAGACGACAAAAAAGACTCAAATTTAACGAAAATTTGATGACAGTTTTGGAAAAATATATTTCGTGAATAACTTGAAAAGTATTAGGAATTTCTCAAACATTCAAAGGACCAAAATTGTACAGCATAAAATTCTCTATAAAAAAGTACGTATGATATTTTTGAGAAAATTGGATTATGATCCACAATTTTAATTTTTTATTCAGGTTGAAGTTGAAATAACATAAAGAAACAAGAGATTCGTAGAAAATTGAAGATTTTTTACAGCTGGAATGTTTTTTTTGTAGCGTAATTCACAAAATATACACTAGATCCACAGAGTTATCTATGGTAACTCATCTTCGTCGCTATAAGGATGCTCTGTATTCGAAATCTCGTCGCCACTCTCGTTTTTCATGGAAAAACAATAAGTAAACAAGGATATTACATTCTAAATCTTCTTCCATAGAACGTTTTCACTTTATCCATTCAAGTAACAGGTAATTTATAAGCTGGGCAACACATGTTCCGTTTTATTGTCAAAATCCAGATAGAAAACCAGTACAATAGATATAAAGAGCAGGTTCTGAGCTACAATTTGCCGTAATATTAATAGCGCATTCTTCTCCAGTAATGTGTATCATGAGTGTTTTTATTCCTGCTCTTATTTCTGGTGTATACCAAACTTTTGAAAATATTGAATGGAAATAGAGATATAATAATTTTTTAGTAGTTTTCTTAAGGAAGGAATTATTTTGCCTGTAAAATAGCACATAGAAGGAAAGTTTGAAGCTCCCCCTTTTGAATAAACATTGTTTCATGCGTTTTCATCAACAAACGAAAGAGTAGTGGCACATTTAGTGCAGCGCCGCTTTGAAGCATGTGTTTCTCTGGCTAATATACATAAGAATCGTCATTTTATGTAAATCCCTAAATATCTCTTAAATAACGCACTATACAAAAATATCAACAGGTACCTTTTTTGTACAGAATTTTATGTACTACAACTTTGATCCTTTGCATGTTTCTGAAATTCTCAATACTTTTCAAGTTATTCACGAAACCGTTTTTTTTTGGAGTTTTCCAAACAATTTTTTCTCCTCATCTACTAGCAAAATTTCTGCCATCTCAAAACCTCCAGCAACTGGACTAAAAGTATTTTAACTACCCCTATTTTGAATATTTTCACATATACAGGGTAGACCATCGAGAACGTACCGCAAAGCATTACAGGGTAGTAAAGAAGTTTTCGGCAAAATCCAAAAACAGGTCAAATTTGTTTCTGAGGGGGACAACTTTTGGCTCAAAAAGCATACCAAAATCTTCAACCCCCTAAGTAGGGGTGCTATCCCCTAAATTTTTTCAAATGGGAATGGGGTCAAGTGGGGAGTCATTAGAAAGGGCTTTTAATTCTCTATACATCGATTCTTACTTTTTGAAAATCGATTCATTATTTTAGAAAATATGCAGCTTTGAAAATACGAACAATATTTTTGACGAGAAATGCGAAAATCGATTTAATTTTACTTCAAAACTTACGGTATTAGTCAAGTAAATGCTGAAAATGTTGTCCGCCAACTTGCATACAATGATACAGGTTGTCTTCAAACCGTTGTCGAACATTCTGGAGCACTTGCGGTGTTACTTCGCGACATACATTAATGATTCGTCCTCGCAGATCTTCCAAGGTATCAGGTGGAGTGCTGTAAACTTTGCTTTTAATGTGCCCCCAGAGAAAGAAATCTAAAGGATTTAAGTCGGGTGACCGAGGGGGCCACTCAATTGCACCTCTTCGTCCTATCCAGCGTCCTGGAAACGTCTCATTTAGGTAATTGCGCACATTGAGCGAGTAATGTGGAGGAGCTCCGTCTTGCTGGAAAATCAGTTCGTGTTCATTGTAAGCAGGGTCGTCCTCTATGATATTTGTTAGAGCTGGGTCGATGACATTTTGTAGTAAATCCAAGTACATATCGCCTGTCAAATTTCCAGGAAGGAAAAAAGGACCTACAATGGAATTTCCAAAAATACCTGCCCATACATTCAACTTCTGGGGGTGTTGGGAGTGTGTCTCATGGAAAATCCTTGGATTGGTATCAGCCCAGTAACGACAATTATGGCGATTCACTAAACCATTCAAGAAGAACGTACACTCGTCCGAAAAACACACATTAAAGAGGAAATTATCGTTTATCGCTCGTTCAGTCATTATTTCGCAAAATTGCAAACGACGATCAAAATCGTCTTCATTTAGCTCTTGCACTAGCCGAATCTTATAAGGATGGAATTTGTATTTTTTTAATATTCGTTGGACACTTGTACGACTCACTCCTGTCGCAGTAGCCAATTGCATTGTACTCAGCGTACTATCCATTGCCACTTGCCCCAATACCGCTATTTCCGTAGGTTCATTTAGTACCGGATTTTCAACCTGCCTCTTTTTGTTATGAACGGAGCCAGTTTCGCGAAATTTGGCCACCAATTCGCGAACAATTTTTCCAGACGCATGTTTCTCAGGATGCCGTTGGTTGAACAGTTCGGCGACCCGATTTCCGCATTCATTGTTTTTGAAAAAAAGCTCAATAATTTCTACTCTTTCTGGAATTGAGTACACCATAATTAATCAATTTAAAAGACTCGGCAGTATTGGTACTCTTCAACTACAAGTCACAAGACAGTTATCTAGCAACTTCTTGTGGCCTATCTAAATACGAAACAAAAAGCGGACAATTTTTTGCTCACCAAAATCAGGCTAAAGAATTCGCAAATCAAAAAAAAAAACAGCGAATTCTTTTGAAGGAATTTACCAAGCTAATACCGTAAGTTTTGAAGTAAAATTAAATCGATTTTCGCATTTCTCGTCAAAAATATTGTTCGTATTTTCAAAGCTGCATATTTTCTAAAATAATGGATCGATTTTCAAAAAGTAAGAATCGATGTATAGAGAATTAAAAGCCCTTTCTAATGACCCCCCACTTGACCCCCATTCCCATTTAAAAAAATTTGGGGGATGGCACCCCCACTTAGGGGGTTGAAGATTTTGCTATGCTTTTTGCGCCAAAAGTTGTCCCCCTCAGAAGCAAACTTTACCTGTTTTTGGATTTTGCCGAAAAGTTCATTACTACCCTGTAATGCCTTGCGGTACGTTTTCGATGGGCTACCCTGTATATCACATATCGCCAATTTGTTAAATTTTCTTGGACATAAACGAGTATTTGCTCATAGTTTCTATTGTTATCATCTTCAAACCAAGAAAATCTGGCGCCCAAAGGAAATATCGGCCAGAAGGCCGAACAGAAATCCACGAGAAGGGTGTTCGATTCAACCAAGGTGTACACACATACAATTAAATTAGGTACACGATAACCAGGTATCTTATCTTATCAACTATTATATACTTTAGTCGGGCAAGACATCATTCAGTGTGTGCAGCAACCGGGAACCATCACATGGTAGTCGAAGTTGACGCGAAATAGTTTTTTTTTTGAAAATCCGCCCAGTAAAACATGAAGGCCTTAACGAGGATAGCGGTCTTGGTTATTCTAAGCGTCAGGTAAGTGTACGAAGGATTTGAATTTTACAGCGCTTTATTGGGCTGTATTAAGTGATATATATATAGGTGTGTGAATGGGTTATCTGTGTAATAAAAAAGTGACCTAGCTGGGAATTTTTGCAGTCGCAGCTTGCGCAAGAGCGACGCCAGTCCGATTAGATTTTTCCTACTGATAATGCCGAAATCGACGTGGTTGGATCATTCCTGGGCTTATATTTTCAAAAAAAAAGTACTTGTGCCAAAATCAAGATTATTGATACCTTACAAAAACAGATAATGTAATATTGGGAAACAAATATCACCGGCAAAATCGTTTACATCTCAGCAAATAAATTCTGTATTTACATGATGAAGAAAAAAAATTAAAGCTTGTACGTGTTCTAAAATAGTTTATCTCAAGATAACGCATAGTATTTATCTTATAAATTATGTAAGTCGCAAGTAACATTTTATTCGCATAAAAATTTACGTACCACAAAAAATTAAGTTGATTTTTACAGTTTTACTAAAAGTTGGGATTGATATCATGTCGAAATTCTTGTAGAATAACCTTGTGCGTATCTCAATAAACAACAGAGATACTGACTCGAGTCAAAGAATAAATTGTCGGGAACAGATGAGGTCACAGTTTGATTCAAACTGTGGCGTCATCGTTGTCGCATCTAAATGCTGGAAACTGAAATTTCAATAAAAAATTTGTATCTTAAGATGAAAAATTTTGTCCATAACTTTTAAATTGGGTCCACTTTTAATGCGGAGTCATTCTGAAGGGAATTGTCATCATTTTTTAATTATTACAATCTCTACAATGATAAAAAAATTCAACAAAATCATCATTAAAGTTCGATGAAGGTATTGAGTAAGGTTATGGAGCCATCTAGTAATATTTCACGTAATGATAACGATGGAAAGTAATAATGGCCGACAATTATGTAGATAAAACGTATTTACTTGAAAAAAATTTCAGCATTTTAACATTTCTCTTTAGTTTCACGTCACCCTGTATCTAATTCAACTGAATTCATTACTTTCAAAATGCAATCCGAATAGATACGATTATAAAAAAAACAACGCGATAAAAGCATTAGATTTATAATTTAAAAAAAAAACAGAAGAATTTGCAATCGTTGTTTATTCAATGTACTGAATACTTCGCAGATAGTAACAGTTAAAAAAATGTTTATTGAACATACAAACAAACACGCAGCTATTCTGCGGCGTTAGGAAATACCAGGTGATCAGAAAAAATATTAGGTGCTAAAATTTTGGGAAGAGATATCGGGAAATTTAATATTTCAAGGAATATGAGTCATTTCCAAAAAACGGTACGCGTTTTTTTCCTCGCCTATCTACACCTGTCTATTAGCGTTTATTTCTTTCCAGATCGTACCCGAATACGTAAAAAAATAACCGCCTCTCTTATCAATTATGATTCGAACTCAAATACAAGATTATATTATTTATTGTTAAACACGTTAAAAATAAATTATCTCTATACCTGAGTCGCTGTTACGTCACGTTAATAAAAATTTGTAAACTTGCTTTTTATCAATGTCGCACTACTTAAAAATACTGAAGGAGATACGAAACAGAGTTTATATCGTCCGCTTTTTTACCGTTTTTTTAATTTTCTGTTCACGTTTCATTAAAAATAAAATATACAGGATGTTCCTTAATGATATGCGAATATTTGCGGTGATTCTACGTGGAAAATTAATGATAGTTTGCTTGTATATCCACTGTAAAAAAAATTTTTACCGTGCGAAAGATACCAATGTTTAGACAATGAAACAGGTAGCTAATCCCAAACCATAAATTTAGCAAATTATAATTCTTCGCGATAAGATAGGTACATAAATTTCCATTCAAAAAAATGTCGTTTTTACGCTTTTTTTTCTGTTTTATATAACTTTACCCGCACGCGTGCAAAATTTAATTAAACCTTCAACCACAACATAATCAATTAATTAGGACGTGATGCATGCGCGATGATTTCGATGATCCTCATAAATTGTCAAAAGTTTTTACTAATTACCTTAATATCTCGAATTATTATTTATTTATATCTTACGTTACGTAAGGGATTATTTATTAAATACTGTCGCCAATAAAACACATCAATTATATTCCCCAGATATTTTTTATGACGATAGCGTAAAACCCTTTTTTTTTTCTTAAATCTAATACATTTTTCTTTGTTTCCAGTTGTACCTGTGGACAAGATGAGGACCTATTGGGACTTCCTATCTTTGTAAGTGCCCATACGACAACAAACTATTTTTTTACTGACGTATGCTGTGACGTAACTCACTTCAATCAATAATTATTATCTAATAAAAGGAATTCAATTTGTTCTCAACAAAAATTCCGCCCCTATTCAACGACAAACTGAAAAGGACGAAAGAAACGGAACTTATCGACCAAATAATCGAATTCAATAGGCTATTGTTGTAGTCTTTCAAACTTTGCACCAGTCATTTTGGGACCTTGTTGATAAATTTCACATAACACATAAACAACAATCTTATCTCCGTTTGCAAATAAGGCGCCTTCGAACAAATATTGATTCAGGAGACGAATTACGACCCACCCATTGAAATACGTGATGAAAAATAAATAGAAGACCAAAATTATTACGTTTTTAATTAACAACCTTTTTTTTTTCAGGACATCTTTGGGATGGAAGAAGACGACTTGTTTTATAAGGTAAATACGAATTAGAAAATGCTTAACTTTTACCAAACTGTATGAATATGTACCATTTCTCCACTTTTATACAACATGTTGTAAAATTAAATTACTATACAGGATGTAACTCTAAATGGGAGTCGTATTTATACAAAGGCTACCTTTGACCTTGAGAAACGCGTACCTACTATAAGTTTGTTTCCTCAAATCCACAACGTCGTAAAAATGTTTTTTTTTTCATAATATCGCACAGAATTTTAACAATGAAGATACACAAACACGCCGCATCGTCATTAAACTGATATAAATACATTTTTAAGGTTATACGCTTACAAGACATTTCACCATTTTAAGTTTAGTCAAATAAGTTCAATTCGATTCCAGTAAAAACTAATACTGTACTTTCTCGTAAACCAATATACTGAAAACTGAAATAAATGTAATAAAATGAAGCGGTGACATATTTGGCCATTCCCGTTTCGCCGAATTAACGTTAGCCATTTGTTTTTTGCGTACCTAGCACCCTGTTGTCATATCTCATTAGGTGGATTGACATTATGTAGTTCATCTGAACTATGTCAATGTCAGAGGCCTCTGAGACTCACAAACTAAACACAGTGCTTTTAAATATAGTACCAAACACTTTAACTTGAAATTATTTAAAAAAATTTCAAATCAATCAGATTAGTAACTATTTTTATTTATTTTTGTTATTTTATATTCCGCATTTCGTCACTGTTGACATAAAAAAAATTTGGTAACTAATGCAATGATTGTTCTACATAAAAAGGTAACAACAAGCAAAACTTAAAGTTACATCCTACACAGGACACTTTTTTTTCTAAATGACAATATAACCAAAAATAAACACTAAATTTTGCCGAAAAGTTATATTAAACTATCATTATTAGTTCCAGGAAAGAGAACAAACCAATTCGTACCTAGTTTCGGAAGAACTGCTTAGAAAATTATGCGACGAATACGACTTGCAATTAGACGACAAGAAAATAGACTGCCTGAACGTAAAGATCGTTCCTAAGGCGCTGCAAACCAACGAACACGTCCTCCATAAGCGACAAGCAGAAGAACCCCCTCTAGAAGGATCAGGTAAGAAAACGCACTTGAAAATTTTACAGGAGTCATTTAACATATTCCATTATAGGAGAGCCCGAAGAAATTGCCCCCGCCAACGAAGAAGTCTTAGAGGCGGAAGCACCAAATCCAGAATCTCCACTAGAAGAACCAGCCCCAGAGGAACCTGTTGTGGAAGAGTCGGCTCCAGAGTTACTAGCTGCCCAAATACGAGCTCCTGAAGAACCAGCTCCAGAAGCACCAGCGCCTGAAGAACCAGCCCCAGAGGAACCAGCCCCAGAGGAACCTGCTCCAGAGGAACCTGCTCCAAAGGAACCTGCTCCAGAGGAACCAGCTCCAGAGGTACCCCCTCCAGAAGCAGCAGCGCCTGAAGAGCCAGCAGCAGAAGAACCTGCTCTGGAAGAATCAGCTCCAGAGGTTCTAGCTGCTGAAGTACCAGCTCCAGAAGTACCGGCTCCTGAAGAACCAGCTCCAGAAGTACCAGCACCTGAAGAACCAGCTGCAGAAGTACCGGCACCCGAAGAACCAGCACCAGAAGTACCGGCTCCAGAAGAACCAGCTGCAGAAGTACCGGCACCTGAAGAACCAGCTCCTGAAGAACCAGCTCCAGAAGTACCGGCTCCAGAAGAACCAGCACCTGAAGAACCAGCTCCTGAAGAACCAGCTCCAGAAGTACCGGCTCCACAGAAGAACCAGCTCCTGAAGAACCAGCTCCTGAAGAACCAGCTCCAGAAGAACCGGCTCCAGAAGAAACCAGCTCCTGAAGAACCAGCTCCTGAAGAACCAGCTCCTGAAGAACCAGCTCCTGAAGAACCAGCTCCTGAAGAACCAGCTCCAGAAGTACCAGCTGCAGAAGTACCAGCTGCAGAAGTGCCAGTTCCCGGAGAACCAGCTCCCGAGGCGCCCAACGGCGAAGAGCTTAAAACCGAACAACCGGTCCTGTACGGAGAAGACAAAACAGACGGAGGCGATCAATCGCCCGCCAACGAAGAAAACAAAGCAGAGGAAACCAACGAGCCATCGGAGACCGCCAAGGAAACTCCAGTTGAAGAAGTCGTAGCGCCCGTCGTCAAAAAGGGGAGGGTTCTGAAACCCGGCGAAGCTGAGGAAACAAAAGAGACCGAGGCAAATAAAGACGCAAGCGGCACCGAACAACTGCACGAGCAACAGAGCGGCAACGCCGTCGTCGACACACCAGGAGGCGGAAACCTGGCGGAAAGCGACGCCGCAGTAGCCAAAATGTCCCCCAAGGAAAATCTAAGTAAGTGAAAAAAAATTGTTTGGCAGCTGCTCAAATGGGGTTGTCCTGCAGCTCAAAGAAAAAAAATTCTAATATCTAGTTAAGTTCAAACAGATATGGCAACAGTTTTAAAAAAATCACAATTTTTTGATGCTACAAACCTTAAACATCTTCGCCAGATCACCAGTTCATGAGAGGTTATGAAATTTTATAAAACACAGTGGTATACTTTCTTTCTCTTTAACATCATATTCTTCTGAATGTTTAGAATTTAAATGAACTGAAATGATCTTCAATGCAGTAAAATTGGTACTCGAATGTATAAAATTATTGTAGTGTATAAATAAATACTTCAGCAGTCTAAGTTTATGAAAACCTAATATTTATTTTTTTTTCAGAAGAAACTGCCAGCGCAGATCTGCCCAAATCTGGAGAATCCAGCGAGACACAGCAGGGAAGAAAGGACTCCAAGATCCTGATCATCCTCCTGGTGGCGGTGGTGGTGATAGGTTGTGCGGCGTTCGCCTACAACTTCATCAAGAAGAGGAAACAGAAGAAATCAGAAACATCCAGAACGGAAAACGGCAACGCCACCGTGCAGAAGACCGAAGACGCCGAACAAGGCACGGAACTCAAGCCGTTGATGAAGAACAACGAAGAGAAACCGGTGGTGGAGTACAAAGACGAGAAGGATAACGCACAACCCATAGCCGTCAAATAGATAAGGGGTGTTGCGAAAGCTCCACGGAGCTGGTAAAAACTTTTTTTACAACAGGTTTACCATAAATGTATTTTAAGCTATGTCGCTAAGTGCCCGATAGTTTTAGCTTAAACTTTCGTTTTTTATTTATTTATTTTATCTGGAAATTCCGCGGATTCTTTTTTATCGTTTAAAATTTGGATTCAAATTGTGTACCTGAAAACCTCAACCACAAGTATTAAAAATGTTTAAGGAGGCATACTTAAATCACTGCATGTTTTGTGGTTGAGGAAGACACGGTTCTTAATTTCGCTAACGATTTTTGTAACATAAAAACACCACAAAATAATTTAAGTAGGTAGTTGTTGTTTTAATTTGTAATTTTACTTTATTAAGCTGTATAATAAATTTGTAAATGTTTGACTTTTTTATCCTTTCTAAAATATTCAATCAAGTCCTTGTCAAAACAACAACAAAAACAATTTTTGTGGAAGAGAAAGCTAACCACTTTATTCGCAATAAATTTTTATGTCTGCTCCAGACCCACCAAAAAATGTTTATACATCAAACTCCTTTAAAACGATAAATATTTACATAATCTTTTGAAAAAATGGCAATTTGCTATTAATAAAATGTGTTTAACACAATTAATTTTATGTTTATGTGGCACAGAACAAAAAATTTGTTGAAAACATTTATTAAAATATCGAATCAAGGTGTGACAAACTATTTTTAGAACTATTTCTACTGGATAGAGTAAGTATGTTGAAATACGTAACTAAAGGCAAATGTGTTTATTTCCCTGACCCAATTTACCTTACAAGTGAACAAATTGCAACTGATAAGAAAATAATAGTATTTTCTTAAGGTTCACTGGAACTTATAAAATAGTAAGAATTCAACTGTCATATTTCAACATTTCAATATATCATTTTTTCCTTTATTGCATCGGAAAGGCTAATAAGATAAAGAGAGAGGAAGTTGCAGTTTTATACTCACAAAATAAATTGCAAATTTTAGCAAACTTCTGGACTTCAAAATCGCTAAATACAAAATTTTGTAAATGTGTGACAAAAAAACAAAATTCGAAATTGTCTTCATCAAACCTAATTTTTTTCAAAAAATGTAGACAAAATTTGACACTAACGAAGATTTAAAAAATATATCAAAAGGTCACCATCAAGCTATTATCTCTTTTTAAGATAGAGCCAGACCTAATCAGTAGTTCATTTGTACCGTTCCTGTTAATTTTGTCCAAGAACCACCCTATAGAAGTATGGCAGTCAAATTAAGGGACACCCTGTGTAAATGATCTGTGACCCCTCAGAAGACAACTAAACGATTACATATTAACTATTTTAGTTGCACACTTACCTCCATCACAAGGTAGACATTGTTTGCAGATTCTTTACAGTCTAAAAGAGCAACAACATTTTCATGATGAAGCGCAGTGAGTTCCTGAAACAAATTTCGTATTTCTTTCATAATACAAGCGTGAAAAAAAAATTGGAAGATTCAAAGACAAAGAAAAAAATTTGTTTACAAACACAAAGTTTCCACTTCAGAAATTCCAGTTAAATAAAGTTATTAAACGGACTTCTGAGTATTTAGGTCAAGTTAAAATAGATTTCTTAACACGAACAGGATGTGGCAGTAAAAATAAACGTAGTAACTCAACGACTATAAACTCACCTTCAGAATTTTGATTTCCTTCCCAAGTAAATTCGGTGATTTTAACAGATTCTTCTTTGTTATGCTCTTTATAGCTACCGTACACTCGGGATTCTGCAAAGAAACATTTTTTAAGGCATGTTTATTTTTGTGGTACAATGAGGTGCACTGACCTTTTTCGACCTGCCCTTAAATACCACAGCGAATGCCCCGTGGCCTATCAGGTCCTTACTGTTGTACTCATAATCCCCCAAGCTTTCCATATTCGCACTCATCTTGCACCGTATTCTGATATTCCAAATTAAAATTATGTTAATTGAATCACTAGTTAAACAATGGTTTCACTTCAACAGACTATTGTAATTACAGCTTTTGCTGTCCTACATTTTGAATAGTATGCAACTAACACTTTCTGCTAGTCGTTTCGCAGACTATGCTAGTACCTACGCTATGATAATAACAAACCTAGAATTTTTAAGCATTTTCTTGTAAAAATACGTAATTCTGTCAAATCGCCATACCACCAAAATATTGATTCTCTTTCTCTCTCATTCAAAATTTTACTTTTAAGGAATATCTACTTTATCGACATTAACAGTATATTCTTCTTCTTCATCCTCCTCCTCTTCCCTTAAATAGTTTTTATCATACTCAGGGCTAAAAAATACAAACCTGAAAGTAAAAATCCATTAAAAATGAAAGGGAAAGTAATAAAAATATAAATAATTTTAAAACAAGCTGACATTTGCACCACGGACCTTGTTGTGTCGAAATAGTCTAAATCTTCGAATAATTATGACCTTCGAGCATGTACTACTAGAGGCAGGATGCTATTGCGAAAAGTGTCGATGAGTGTGCGAGAGAGACAGACCGTACTTTAGTATATGCTATGGCACCCACGCGATTGGTTGGAAATGAATGCTCCAACCAATTGCGTGCGTGCTAGTCAGACAGCATTTACTGAGAATTTACTGTCTCTCTCGCACACTCTGCCACACTTTTCGCAATGGCATGCTACCTCCAGTAGTATATGCTCGAAGATTATGACCCTCACCCCAATAATACAATAATACTGCAAAATATAAATTAATGCAATAACAAACATAATAAGCATTTTCAATTAATAAAGGTTCCTGGACCACCCTGGAGAATATGTAGTGTCGACACTCCGTATTGGAGATCCTCATTGGTTTAGCACTGGAGGCGGCAATCCTATCCCTTGAGACTGACATTAAAAGCGCCCTGACTCAGACTACGACGGAGACTATTGTCCCCCGACTGACAAACCCCCGGGGCACCCTCCCCGATGACATAAAAAACTTAATACGTGACAGACGACGTGCGAAACGGCTTGCCACCCGCACCCGACTCCCCCGACACAGACATGACTTAAACGTACTTAACAGACGGGTGAAGGCGGCTCTGGATGAACTGGCCCAGGATAACTGGGCTAGGCACCTGGAGTCGCTGGATCCACAAGACAACAGCCTCTGGAAAACGCAGAGGGCCCTGCGACAGACCGCTCGCCGTAAAATTCCTCCAATCCACGGTAGTGTGGGGGTGGTTTACACGAACCAGGAAAAGGCCGAGGCTTTCGCCGATAGCCTGGAACTGCAGTGTAGACTGCCTCAGCTGCCCGACGAAGACGAGGAATTCGAGATAGTGGCTGAGCGCGCGGCCCGACGCGTCGACAGAGAGCCAGACAATGACATAATCCCCCCCGCAACACCTGACGAACTAAGACTGACAATACGCAGACTTAAAAACAGAAAAGCCCCCGGACCCGACAATATACATAACACGACACTTAAACGACTACCACACAAGGGCCTCATGGCCCTACTAAACATAACAAACGCGACACTCAGACTAAGACACTTCCCTACCCGCTGGAAAACAGCAAACATAATCCTTATCCCAAAACCCAACAAAGATCACACCATCCCATCCAACTACCGGCCCATTAGCCTGCTCCCGGCTATGAGCAAAGTGGTAGAAAAAATTATCCTAACCCGTCTAAGAACCCACTCCCAAGAACTGCAAGTCATTCCAGACGAGCAGTTCGCCTTCCGACCCAATCACTCCACTGAACTCCAAATCCTTCGCCTTACCGAGCACATCACGGCGGCCTTCAACAGGGGACAGTACACTGGTGCTGTCTTCCTGGACGTCGCAAAGGCCTTCGATACGGTTTGGCATGAAGGCCTACTGATGAAAATGCTCACCAACCAATATCCCATATCCTTTACCAAACTCATAAAATCCTACCTACACCACCGAAAATTCCGCATCCAAATCCAAGATTCCCTTTCCACCACCCGTCCCATGGAGGCCGGTGTCCCCCAGGGCACCGTCCTGTCCCCACACCTATACACCATTTACAACTCCGACATCCCACATCCCCCCAACACCAACATATACTTATACGCCGACGACCTGACAATCACATCCCAATCCGTAGATCCTAGATATTCCGTCT